TTAAGCCTTGAAAATCCTTCCAAAGCCATGTGCATCAGAGGTTTTCCATATAAAATATGCATCTTAAGATGCTCTTGTTTTTATAAGCTCTGATAAAAGAGGGAAATGGCAAATATATGTTAATATAAAGGAGTTGTTGGCTTTGAGTTTGCATGGCAAGCATGCATATTCCAGTAGTATAAACAGGAAACATCTGAGACAGAGATATTTAACCTATTTATTCTGTCTCCCAGTTCACCCCTCTTCAGTGTCAAATATTTGCCTTTCACCACTTACATGATGTTTATCTCCACCTTTTAGTGTTCCGCCTGTAACACCTGTCAGAATTTCACCAAACACAGTATGGAACTTCTAAAACCCCCTTAAGACTTATTGTGATGAGTCAAAGACATTTTACAAAATTTAGAATATGGAGATTTGTATTCACAAAATAACTAAAATTCAACACATCACAGTTACAGGCTTGCTGCCACTTTCAAAGTCTCTACAGTTTTATCCAGAGTTTTTATAAACACAATGAAATAAGGAAAGGTAATAATATTACAACTGTCTATCAGTTTGGGGAAAAGGACTGAGCATTGAGTGTCAGACCACTTGGGACACTTATGGTCCTTGACCCATTAGGCACGTTCCATCATGAGAGCACCATAATACATGTCCCTGTGGACACTCTCAAGGGCAGAGCAGCCCTGCAGAGAGATGTAGATAAACTAGAGAGCTGGGCAATCACCAACTGTATGAATTTTAACAAGGGCAAGTGCTGGATTTTGCACCTGGGACACAGCAATCCTGGACACACACAGCCTGGGGAACGAGAGGCTGGAGAGCAGCCCTGCAGAGAGAGATCTGGGGGTTCTGGTTGATGGCAAGTTGAACATGAGCCAACAGTGTGTCCTGGCTGCCAAGAGGGCCAACCGTGTCCTGGGGTGCATCAAGCACTGCACTGTGAGCCGGTCGAGGGAGGTGATTGTCCCACTCTACTCTGCACTGGTGCGGCCTCACCTCCAGTACTGGGGGCAGTTTTGGGTGCCACAGTATAAAAAGGATATA